GTGTCAGACAAACGCTCCTGGGAAGAGTCCAGGAGAAGCCCACCGCCTAAGATGGTTCTGTTTTGCAGCAAACACCTCCAAAAGAACTTCCCTGCTGTGGGAACATCAGAGCAACCAGCCTCCCAGCTGAACATGCAACCACTGACCACACCCGAAGAATGACACCACCGGCCCACCTGATAGCGCGGCCATGCCACACAACTTCAGAGACGTCCCCTCCAATATCTAGAGGGGGCTGGTCACCGGGTCTGGCATCAGCAATCCCAGATGGATAAGCGCAAAAATGGGGCAAGGGCTTCCTTTGGCCAGAAAGGCAGACAATGCATGGGCAGGGGGTGGAAAAGGTAGGTTTTCCCGACCCAGGTGTGGCTACAGATGAAAAGCTGGAGCTCTCCTCTGAGACACCAAGTTTGTCCAGCCAGGGAGTTATGACCAAAAAAATTCCTAATCTTCAAAACATCAGCCTCCCACCACCATCTCCATAGGATGATGATGAAGTGAAGGCGATGCCCATATCCATCAAAGACAAAATCAACAGCTCCGTTCAACTGTATTAGTCTCCCATTGCTGCTATAACAAATTACCACAAACCTAGTGGTGTAAGACAACACAGATTTATTATGTCAAGTTCAGGATGGCAGAAGGCCAACATGGGTTGCTTTTCCTTTTTTGCAACCTAGTAGTGCAAGGCTCTCCGTAAATGCAGAAAAAAAAATGATTAACAAGTGACTCTATTTCTTTTTTTTTTTTTTTAAAGAGACAGGGTCAGGCCAGGCATGGTGGATCACACCTGTAATCCCAGCACTTCGGGAGGCCGAGGCAGGCGGATCACCTGAGGTCAGGAAGGCAAGACCACCCTTGGCCAACATGGCAAAACCTGGTCTCTACTAAAAATACAAAACTTAGCCGGGCATAGTGATATCTGCCTGTAATCCCAGCTACTCCAGAGGCTAAGGCAGGAGAATCACTTGAACATGAGAGGCGGATGTTGCAGCGAACTGAGATCACGCCACCGCACTCCAGCCTGGGTGACAGAGCGAGACTCTATCTCAAAAAAAAAAAAAAAAAAAAGTGAAACGCCCCAATGGACTCTCTCCCCTTTGGACCCTAATGACTGAGAAGTAATTTTGAAAACCCACTGGCACCTCACAGGGGAGATTCCTGGGTCCAGATGTGGAAATCAGTGTTCTAGGTCAAACCCGAGTCTCCAATCAACCGCCAGTAATGAAAATGGTATTTTGATCACTATTTGTCTGATTCCTGCATCTATTTCTTATAGAGAACTTCAGGGGAAAAGAAAACAGCCATGATTTATTACATGTTACAACAAAGTTACGATTTGCTGACCACTTGTTACGTGATAAGAACAGAATATATAAGCATCTCACGTAACAGCCACCCTCGCTCCCTCAACGCCAACTGACATCCGGCAGAACCGGCGCTCCTCAGGGCTCTCTGATAAACCATGAGCTGGAAAAGGAAAAAGCTCTCTTCCACCGAGGATGGGAATGAATGAATTAATTAATGTATGCATATATGTTTAAAGGAAAAAGGCCATGTGAAGAGCCAGAAGTTGACTCTCCAAGTGAGAGCTTGACCAGGTCCAGAGACCTTTCCTGCTCCCAGTGCTGGGCACATTTCCATCAGGCCCAACACCACTAAACACCTGAACCACCCGACTACTTCCTCCTTTCTGACTTACCAAGTACCAACAGGTGAGACTCCAGCTTCCCAGGTAAGTCAGCGAGAGAGAGGACAGGCCTTCTGGTCTACCCAGCAGCTCCGTGTCTCACCAGTGTTGAGTCAGGTGTTCTGGTGTCCATCACTGTTTGTGTGCCTGGCTAACATGAGCCTGCTCCTAACGAGCCAGTCTGTCCACACAACCCTAAAGTTGAAGTGATGCACCTGCTCTCCTCCCCAGACCTCTCAGTGAGCTGCCAAGGGGCCTCTGCAGGCAGGAAGCCAACTTGCAAACATCTTGTTTCAAATTTCAGCAATACTCCCAAAATGAAAGCATGAGTTTTCAGAGGGATCTCCTGCTTTCATAAGTGAAACTTCCCTACACTGGCTCCCTGGGGAGGAGAAAGGGTGTCCAATGCCATTAACTACAGAACTGATCAAACGACCAGTAAGAGTTACAATGAAGTGGAACTGCCAGGTGAGTTCCTGGTAGATATGGCAGCCCTTGCACCACGGTTCTAACGCTGGAGGAAGAGCACAAAGAATTTGCCCTAAGGTGAGAGACTCAAAAGAGCAAATAAAGGTATCAGCTTTTGGCAAATCTGACATCACCAAGGAAAAACAGCACTTGAGAGGCAAATAACCCAACCTCACTTCTGGACCACATTAGGGGGGGAGAAAAAAAAAACTTTCCAATAGATAATGACACCACCCAAATTCCAAATTCCAGTCCTTATTTTGCTGCTTAAATAATGATTTTCTTGGAGGGACTAGATCACTCCTCTTAAAAAAAAAAAAGAGGGTGGGAATCTGAAATTTGATATCTGTAAAATTAAAGGTTGTCAATGTCTATTCTAAAAGTTCATTTTAAGTTGTTCTGTTTAAACCCTGGAGGCATTTTCCGTAAGAATGTAGTAATGCAGGAGTAAGAGACTGCTGCTTGGTGGAGTCGCCACATAATTCATGTAAGAGCTGTCGCAACTACATCCTGAAATGGCTCATATCCAGCTGTGGCTCAGGGCACTCAGGATCGGCCTGGGGAAATGGACCTTCAGCTGCTATGAAAAACCATTCTGCCCATTGTAGGTTCCATATGCCCATTTGGGGAGAATCACGCTCAAAATTTTCCGACTTAGAAATGCATTGTGTAGTGCTGAGGTTTTCAAATCAAAAGCAAGCCCAGTGGTGCTTCTTTTTAACCTGACTTTAATAGTCTTGTTGTACTGAATCCAAGTTCTGTGTAAGTAATGTGTAGATTTCACAAAAGGTGGTGGCGCTGTCCTCAGGTCACCTGCATTAGAGTCACATATCTAGAAGTGTAAATCTAGAGCCTCATCCTAAGTCCACTGGCACAACTCCCAGAGGCAGGGTCCTGGAAAGAGGTATATTTAATGGGCTCCCCAGGCAATTCCTCTGCACAGTAAAGTTAAAAGAATTTTATAACACAAAGAACCAGAGGTTTGGAGAAAAATGCCTGAGCTCATTTCCACCACAGACACATGCACCAGCCCCTTAAGCTCTCCTAAGCCCCTAATAACAAACTTTAAAATAATGGAAAAATACCTGCTCATCACAAGGTTACTGAGTCAAATCAGAGTACATTTGAACTTGCTTGGAAAGGGCAAAGGGCTAGACAAATACTATTCATTCAAAGCATGTAATGAATGTAGTGAATGACTAAAAAGCCAGTTGCTGGGGAAACAGAGATGAGATATAAAAACTTGGGAGACCAACATATAAATAATTCTGTATAATGAAATGAATTCAGGGCCATAATAGCAATATTTGTATGAGAAGGGCATGAGCCCACAGAGAAAGATAATTAATTCTGCACTGATAACCCCCAGAATGATCACAGTTACCTACCCAAATATGAACGAAGCAAGGCATGTTATCAAATAGTATCACCAATAAGCTGATCCTGATCAAATGGGAACCAAAAGAAATATACAAGCTTCAAAAACATTCATGTCTTCACGCAATTACTAAATAAGTCATAGCCAGATTCCAATCCTGTCTCCTATAAAAATAACAACCATTTATTATATACCGGGTACCATACTAGAAACTCTGCATTCATTGTTTTGGAAAATCCTCACAATGCTCTCAGGACACTGGTGTGATGTCCTGGTACATGTGGGAAAATAATTCCAAGCGGTCAGGCAGTCATGGGTGAGCATGAATTCAGTGCAGGTTTGGTTGACTCTGAAGACACGGACTGGGAGCAGTGGCTCACGCCTGTAATCCCAACACTTTGGGAGGCCGAGGGGGGTGGATCACCTGAGGTCAGGAGTTCAAGACCAGCCTGGCCAACATAGTGAAACCCCACCTCTACTAAAAATACAAAAATTAGCTGGGTATGGTGGCAGTTGCCTGTAATCCCAGCTACTGAGGAGGCTGAGGCAGGAGAATCACCTGAACCCGGGAGGTGGAAGTTGCAGTGAGGGGAGATTGTGCCAGTGCACTCCATCCTGGGTGGCAGAGTGAGACTCTGTCTCACAAAAAAAAAAAAAAGAGACATGTGAATGTGGGGAACACCCAGCATTCGTTAAAACGTCCACATTCTATGAGCTTGTCTTTAAGGAAATTTTGCTGTGGTCTTTTGGCTGAGGGCTGCAAGACACATCAACCAGAGTTAAAGATCCTTTCTTCAAGCTGCCCTGAGAAATAGTTTAGGAAATTTTAGAAGCAGCACATGGCCCCACCTCATTTGGTGAGATCTTCATGATTGTTCTTCTGTCTACTGGAATTTCTGATTAATAACAGTAATAACAGCTAAAATTTATCCAGCATTTATTCTATGGTAGACATTATGCTAAGATGTCTACATGGATTGCCTCATGAGGCAGGTGCTATCAACCAACCTCATTGTAGAGATGAAAAAACTGAAGTGCAGCGAAATTAGGAAACTTAACCAGAGCTGGGATTGGAACCTGATCAGCCTAAGTCCACCACTCTGATTCTCTGTCATCTTGGATTTCTGTGGCTTGCACCCGTGGCCTGCTGTGACGTCATCATATCACAAGGTTCACTGCCATGCAACTATCTCAAGACTATGGACATAAAATTCTCTAAGTACACAAATCAATAAGACTGTTGCTAATAGTCTAGCAAGTGAGTCTTATAATATTAGTTATGCATGTTGCAGGGATATACATCAGGTTTTCCACCTGATTAATTTTCTGGAATCCTGAGCAGCACCATTATTCTAATCCATCCACACATGCACTCATCACATGTTGAGTGTCTATTGCATGCCACGTACAGGTGTTAATGAAAAAGCCCGGCCCCTCCCAACCGGGTCTCAGGCTCCCCCTCACCTTCAGCTGTTTGACCTTCTCTTTTCAGCATCTGGACAGCTCCTACATATTTCTTCAGCTGGACTTTGAGCACCTCGTTCTCTCTGCAAGTACAAGAATGTTAAAATATATATATTTAAAAAGTGACAATGTGGACCCACAGGAGGGGGCAGGGGTGGGTGGTGAATCTGTGCAAAGAAAAGCACAATTTGCATCTTATAAATGTTAATCTATTCTCATGGTTTCGAGATCATCATGGGAGAAGGCTGTGTTACCACAGGTATGTTTGCAGAATACCTTCAAGAACTGTCCTTTCATGAGACAGATAAGCACCAATTGGTTCCAGTGTCCACAAATCCAGAACACAGACACAGGCTGTGCTTAGGCTGTTTGAAGCTACCCATCTATCAGGTGCCTATTCAGTGTCAGGAACTCTAGTCTTCTCTCCATTTACAGAAGCATGTACTGACTAATGTGCATTCACCCTGGGGAATGTTCTTAATATTTTTATCAACTGTGACATGTATTAAACACTTATTATTTGTCAGGAGTCATGTCAAGTGTTTGTACAGAATCTCCTTGAATCCTTCCAAGGCACTAACACAACCCTCATTTTACAGATAAGGAGGCTGAGGCATAAAGAGAAGCACTTGGATCAAGTCCACATCCACCCCCATGTAAGATTACACTAAGGAACACAGAACCCAGGGTATGACAGGACCCCACCTGCTGAACTCACTCCCCAGGTACACTGGCTGACAACGGAACGTGAGGACCAAGGGGGAAAATCTGCCATTTGTTGAGTATTTAGACTTTACATATGTCTCTTTGAACCAAGCATGCATCCATTCATTCATTCATCCATCCGTCATTCAGCAGAAAGATGCTTCATTCAGTAGAAAAATGCACAGTGGCCTGCAGTAATCTCATTTTACAGGAGAAGAGTTGGACAAGTAAGGTTTCTGACCAAGGTCACCAGGAAAACTCACTAGTAAGATCTGAACCCAGGTTTCCCTGCCCTCAAGGCCCACAAGGACTCTTCACCATCTCCTCTGAGATTCAGACTTGGTGTCTGACCAGCTCTACCAGAGGGAGCTGCCTCTTGCACATTTTCTATTTCTGCCCCCACCCCCTACACCTCAGGCCTTGAGCCTAAGTGCCTTTAAATGTGCTAAAGTACTTTTTCTTTCCTTGCAATGAAAAGAGCTGAAGACTAGGTTTTTTCTGTGATTATAAAAATAAAAAATGCTCATTGCAAAATAATCAGAATACATTTAAGAAGAAAAGCAAAAACATGCTAAGACCCCAACATCTTGAAATAAACTCCATTAACATTTTTAAATCCATCCTATTATTTCTCTAGGTGCACACACACATCCTAAACAATTTTAGGGGGATGAAACATCCTTCACAATGCTTTAATTTTTGTGTGAATGTTTGAAGGCTTTTTTCCCCTGTTTACTGTTCCACTCAACACTTCCCCATGGTAATCAATGGCAAAAACCTAGTATATACCTTTCAGGCCTTCCTCGATGCTCTGACAATCACTACAACCCAATACACTCAGAGTCTCTATGACAGGGTAGTATAAATGTTTCTGAGATTGGGACGTCTCATTTAATAACGCACCACAGTAAGCCTCTCACTCAGTCTATTTACGGATGGAAATACCACCCACTGCTATAGATACGCCAAACACTGACTTAGTTGAAAAACTTGAGACTGCTCATCCCTGGTGCTGAGTGTCTGTTTTCAATGCATCTGACTACATCCCAGCCCACGACAACAGCACTTTCTTTGTATTTTGCTTCTCTGTGCTGTATTGTGGCAGAAAAAAAACATCAAGATCAAACTCAGACACTACTGTAGACTTAGGCATCACCTGAGAACTTGACGTTCGTCTCCGAAGCTCTGGAGAAAGAAAACCACAAGGGAGTCCCTTAGTTATCCCCTCGTCCCAGACAAAGCCTGTCATGGATGCCTCCACAGGTATCTGTACTTTCTCCATCTGTGACATGAGTTGCAAATGTTTGAAACGAAACAACAAGTCCTTAAAATGTTTGTGGGAGAGAAAATCTTCCCTGATGGGGATTGTACAGGATGTTTTTTGTTTTGTTTTGTTTTTGAGATGGAGTCTCACTCTGTCGCCCAGGCTGGACTGCAGTGGCATGATCTCGGCTCACTGCAACCTTAGCCTCCCGGGTTCAAGCAATTCTCCTGCCTCAGCCTCCCGAGTAGGTGGGACTACAGGCACACACCACCATGACCGGCTAATTTTTGTATTTTTAGTAGAGATGGGGTTTCACCATGTTGGCCAGGCTCTTCTCAAACTCCTGACCTTAAGTGATCCGCCCGCCGCAGCCTCCACAAGTGCTGGGATTACAGGTGTGAGCCACTGTGCCCAGTCTGTAGAGTATGTTTTCTAGGATTCCTATAGCCAGAATCTCATTGCTCAGCCCAGCCTATTCCTAATCTCCACATGTGAATTCAAGTCACATATCTTAAAGCCAGGGAAAGAAAGGCATTTACACACATTTCTAAATAGTAGTTCATGGAAGAACATTTTCCAAGAGGCCCCATGACCAACAGAACTCATATCAGTGCTTGGAGGTCAGGGCTCCTTCCATTTGCTGCCAGCTGTCAGGCCAATCCTCCACTTCCCTGTTCATCTTCAGCTCTGGGGCCAGCACTAAAATGTTTCAGATAGCTGCTTTTCTTCTGGTCTGAAAAAATCTTTTAATACTCTGTTCAGATTCCATCTAAAATCACACCTGGCTGGGTGCGGTGGCTCACATCTGTAATTCCAGCACTCTGGGAGGCCGAGGCAGGGGTATCATCTGAGGCTAAGAGTTTGAGATCAGCCTGGTCAACATGGTGAAATCCTGTCTCTACTGAAAATACAAAAATTAGCTGGGCGTGGTGGCAGGCGCCTATAGTCCCAGCTACTCAGGAAGCTGAGGCAGAAGAATCACTTGAACCTGGGAGGTGGAGGTTGCCATAAGCCGAGATCATGCCACTGCACTCCAGCCTCGCGACAGAGCAAGACTCCGTCTCAAAAGAAAAAAAGAAAAGAAAACAAAGTGTTGCCAATGTGGAGTGTGGCAGAGTTGGACATCTGAGATGTTTGCACCTTCCTTGAAATCCCTCCTTGCTAGCTATGAAGTGAGAAGCAGCACAGCACCAAAACTCCCTTATAGGTAAAAGGTGTGCCTCATTCCCAGAGATCCATACATGTATAGTGGGAAATATGCTTTTCAATCTGCAACATATGAGCACCTGCCTCTGAGTAGGGCACTTAATATTCGAGGTGTGGAAGACATGCTCACATTTTACCTACACAGTAACCCTACAAAACAGGTTATTATTGCTGCCATTTTTCCTTTTTTTTTTTTTTTTTTTTTTTTTTTTGAGACGGAGTCTCGCTCTGTTGCCCAGGCTGGAGTGCAGTGGCATGATCTCGGCTCACTGCAAGCTCCACCTCCCGGGTTCACGCCATTCTCCTGCCTGAGCCTCCCGAGTAGCTGGGACTACAGGGGCCGCCACCACGCCCGGCTCATTTTTTGTATTTTCTAGTAGAGACGGGGTTTCACTGTGTTAGCCAGGATGGTCTTGATCTCCTGACCTCGTGATCCGCCCGTCTCGGCCTCCCAAAGTGCTGGGATTACAGGCTTGAGCCACCGTGCCCGGCACTGCCATTTTTCTTACTGCCTTCTGAAGACCAGGAGTGGTGGCTCATGCCACCCGCCTGGGAAGGCCAAGGCAGGCCCATCACTTGAGCCCAGGACACTAGCCTGGGCAACATGGTGAAACCCCATCTCTACAAAAGATACAAAGATTAGCTGGGTGTGGTGGCATGCACCTGCAGTCCCATCTACTTGGGAGGCTGAGGTGGGAGGATCGTTTGAGCATGGGAGGTGGAGGTTGCAGTGAACAAAGACCCAGCCTGAGTGACAGAGTAAGACCTTGTCTCAAAAAAAAAAAAGGAGGAAAGAAACTGAGGCTCAACGAGGCTAAATGAACTATCCAAAAACTGACAACCAGCAAAGGCAGAGCCACAGTCCACTTCAGCCTCTCCATGTCTATGTCCCTCTCCTCTCTGCCACGTATTTGGTGTCTAATTAGATCACCAGCAACACATCATGAGGTTGGTTTTACTGTGCCCATTTTGCAGATGGGAAATTTGAGGCCCAGAGGGTCTAACACACACTCCAACCTGGGATTTAAACCCATATCCTTTAACTTCAAAGTCTCCTGTTACATCATATATGTTTAGAGAATTAAGTGAACAGGGCAACACTGAAAACGTAAGGCCTAGAAAAATTCCATGAGAAAACGTGTGCTCATCAGCACAGGTCTACAGAATCTCTTGGGTGGCTGCGACTACTGTGCAGATGTGAACAGGATCCTCCTGACCAGCTAGCTTTGCTAAGAGAGGCTAAGGAACTTTCCTCAAGTTATGGAGCTCAAGCTTCTGCTGCCAACCCCCTTAGGCATCTCATAAATGTAAGCAGTTGGTCACAGGTGAGCTTTAGGAAGTGTGAATTAACAGCCTTAAGAACTGTAACCTTCTGACCCAGCAACTCCACTTCTAAGAAACTGTATTCAGAAAAGAAAGAGAAGTCTCAAAACCATATGCATGAGGATGCTTTGAATATAAAAGAAACTGGCTGCAAATTAATTGTCTGACAATGTAGGAGTAGGTGGAAAAGTTATGGTGCATGCTCCTATAATGGGATGCTATAGGATTGTCAAGGCTATGATAAATATGTATGTTTATCCCCAGGGACAAATATTATATATATACTCACACTGATATGCCATTAACTGAATGCAACAGAGTATATTTACTCTAACCCCTTATATCTATTTAGATGGATATATTTGCACTGGAAATGTATAGACCACAATGTTAACAGTGCTCATTTCTAGATGATAAAATTAATTGGAAATTTTTCTTTAATTTTTCAACAATGCACTTTACTACAGCACTTTTTAAAATGTAGTAAGAGGTTAGAAATACTCACCCCCAGGCCAGGTGCAGTGGCTCACGCCTGTAATCCCAGCACTTTGGGAGACCGAGGTGGGTGGATCACCTGAGGTCGGG